TGGTAGGGTGGAGGGTCAATGAAAGAGGGGGAGGCCTTCAACGAGATGAATTGACACTGTGGCTGCGATGATGGGCAGGGATCGTGGAGCTGGCGCGGGATTGGGCAGTGTTTCGTTCTGCTGTGCATGGGGTCGCTATGAGTCGGAAACACCTCGATGGCACCTAACAAGTTGTACTCCTGAGGAACCTGTACATAGACCAGGAGGCTGTGGTTTGAACAGAATGAGGGGACACTGCGTGGTTAAAAATCAGGAAGGGAGTGTGTCAGTGTTGTATCCTTTCACCATACTTATTCAAGCTATATGCTGAGCAAATAATCTGAGAAGCTGGACTCCATGAAGAAAAATGTGGCATCAAGATTGGAGGAAGAATCATTAACAACCTGCAATACGCTGACAACACAACTTTGCTTGCTGAAAGTGAGGATGACTTGAAGCACTTACTGATGAAAATTGAAGACTGCAGTGTGCAGTAAGGATTACATCTTGATGAAAAGAAAACAAAATCTTCACAGCGTCATGATAAACCGAGAAAAGATTGAAATTGTCACAGACTTCACATTGCTTGGTTCTATAATTGACACCAGTGGAAGCAGCAATCAGGACATCAAATGACATATAGCACTGGGCAAGTCAGCTGCAAGAGACCTCTTTCTAGTGCTGAGGAGCAAAGATGTCTCCTTGAGGACTAACGTGTGCCTGACACAAACCATGGTATTTTCAATCGCCTCATATGCAGGTGAGAGCTGAGCAACGAATAAGGAAGACCGAAGAGTTGATGTTTTTGAGTTATGGTGCTGGCGGAGAATGCTGAAGTACTGTGGACTGGTGAAAGAACTAACATATCTGTCTTGGAGGAAGTGCCACTGAAATGCTCCTTGGAAACAAGAATGGCCAGATTTTGTCTTACTTGTTTTGGTCATGTTATCATAAGGGACTATTCTTTGGGGAAGGATGTCATGCTTGGTAAGGTGGAGGGTCAACAAAAGAGGGGAAGCCCTCAATGAGATGAATTGACATAGTGGCTGCAGCGATGTGCTCAAGTATAGCAGAGATCGTGGGGCTGGCGCAGGACCACACGGTGTTTTGTTCTGCTGTGCATAGGGTCGCTATGAGTTAGAGATGACTTAGCAGCACCTAACAACAACAACATAGTCAATGCCTGTGGAAGCAGCAGTGAAGAAATCAAATAACATATTACATTAAGCAGATCTGATGTAAAAGACCTCTTTAAAGTGTTAAAAAGATGTCACTTTGAGGACTAAGGTGTGCTTGACCTAAGCCATGGTATTTTCAGTTGCCTCATATACATGTAAAAGCTGGACAATGAATATAGGAGACCAGAGAAGAATTGGTTCTTTTGAGTTATGCTGTTAAAGAATATTGAATATACCATGGACTGTCAGAGAACAAATAAATCTGTCTTGGAAGAGGTACGGTCATTATGTTTCTTACTAGTGAAGATGGTGAGACTTCGCCTCACTTACTTTGGACATGCTATAAAGAGGGACCAGTCACTGCTGAGGGATATCATGTTTAAGAGTAAAGGGTCAGTGATAAAAAGGCAGAGACTCAACAAGATGTATTGACACAGTGGCTACAACGATGGGCTCAAACATAGCAAGGATTGTGAGGATAGTGAAGGATTGGGCAATGGTTTGTTCTGTTGTACAGGAGGTCACTATGAGTCAGAACTGAGTTGACAGCACTTAACAACAACAGTACATTGTACAGTGGACATGCACATAAATATTGTAGTCATCAGTATTGGAAAAAGTTCTGTCAGAGTTCAAACGCTTGCCTGCCTATCCCTTTCCAGTCATGTGCAATTCTGTAATTCTTACTGTTGTCTGAATCTGTCTAACTTGTTCTTCAGCCATGTAAAGACAGCCAACTGCTGTCTTCCCTACCCATGTTACCTATTTCTTCTCAATAAAGGCTTTCTTTCTGATTCTTTTCAAGGATCACTTTTCTTTTCCAGGCACTCCCCTCTTCTGGCCTGTTAAAATGGCATCGTCGCTCTCGGCATAAAGGCATGGGAAGAACTGAGCAGTCAGAGCATTCCTTTAAAAATGCAGATTTTCTCTTATGTTACCTAAGATAACAGCCAGAGGATAGAGGAAGCCAGTGATATTTCTTGTCATTGGTTTTTTTCCTCTCAGTGAACTTAGTATTTCCAAAAGGATAGGAACAATGGAAAAACCAATGACACATCCACATCTTTATTACACATACTGATTTTATCTTTTTAGCATCCTTGCTTTTTCTCTAAGGGCTTTCTTTGTATTTGTTCTCTCTGTTCTGGTTTTTAAATGTTATTCTCTGTACATGAGACAACATATACAAGAAGAGCATTTACTACTTGGTATTACGTACACCAGTAGTTATACCAGTAGTTTATACCATCATTGGTCAGCACAGCAAAAGAAATCCTTCATTCACATCTGAAAATTCTCCTCATCAACAGTGTGTTGTTGTTGTTGTTATTTGCCGTCGAGTCAGCCCCTACTCATAGCGACCCCTCCTTGGGTTTCTGAGGCAGTATCACTACGGAAGTAGGATTGCCCAACCTTCCTTCCGAGGAGTGGCTGGTGGCTTTGAACCACCAGCCATCTGGTTAGCAGGGAAATGCCTTAGGCACTATGCTACCAGAGCTCCTAGCCATCCTTAAAGATGGCTAAGGGGTAACTGGTAGGTATAAAGCATTAGGATAAGCTTTTGGTTTAGGAAATAGGCTTTGTATGGAAGTGAAGGACTAAGGTAATGAGGAATAGTGAGGATTGTGGGCAGTGAAGAGATCAGTTCTGATTATAAATGGTGATTTTGTCAGTGACTTGTTTTGTTTTGTTCGATTTCATTTTCAGAGTAGCTATCCTGTGTGTTCGTAGATCTAGTTATTGTTTGGATTCAACCCACCCCAGAGGATTACTTGCCATGAAGATGCGACATTTGAATGTAATGGGCTTTCATGTGATCTTGGTAAGAAAAAAATGCAGATGAAATATTCTTTAGTTGTTGTTGTTGTTGTTATGTGCCGTCGAGTCGGCCCCGACTCATAGCGACCCCTCCTTGGGTTTCCGAGGCAGTATCACTACGGAAGTAGGATTGCCCAACCTTCCTTCCGAGGAGTGGCTTTAGTTACTGATGTATTAATAATAATGAAAAAAAGCAAACCTAACCCATTGCCATCAAGTTGATTCTGACTCATAGTGACTCTGTAGGACAGGCTCGTACTGCCCCACGGGATTTCCAAGGCTGTAATTTTTATAGAAGCAGGTTGCCAATTCTTTATCCCTTGGAATGGTTGGTAGATTTGAACCGCCAACCTTAAATTAGCAGCTGAGCTCTTAACCACTGCTCCAGGAGGGCTCCTTGATATTTTCTGCCGTAAGTGTTGCAGTTGAATTGCTTACTAGGCTTTGTGAGGAATTATTAGCATTTTTTGGAATAAGTGTTTTTAACAGTTGCTTATCTGAAAAAGACTATTCCTGGTACATAGTTTGACTTTCATTGAACTGATAGGTATCATTTACTAGGGGTTTTATAAATGTTGCATATGGTCATCTTTCATCCTTTTTGTTTAGAGGAAGAATGTAAATAATAGTTTTTTTGTTATACTTAAGACATGTGAAATGCTATCTATTTCTAAATTACCTTGAGTAAGGGAAGAAGAGATGTTTAATTAAAGCTTTGCTTTCCTGGCCCAATGCGAGGCTGTTAAAGGATGTTTGTTACCTGGAAAGCTTGATGGTTATAAGAGAATGATTCTTCCAGTTTCTTCGTGCACTTCACTTTGATTCTAAGCACTATAGCTTTCCTTGAATAGCCTTGGCAGATGTCTAGGAATGCAGCAAGAACCTTCCAGATACATTAATCTTTATGCTATGTTGGGGATGGAGGGATTCCACTCATTTGCTCCTGCACTTAATGTGAAATGTAAATATTCCTATCTCCCTTGTGGTCCTTTACTGTCTAAAAATGGATTTGAACCTGGATGACTGAGGTTAAGATGGCCCTTTCTCTTTATGTACTACTATTGGAAGACAAATTAGTTATATAGGTGTTCTGACTTCTCCCAAGAAAGAAGAAATTTTTGCACCATTTAGTAGATGTTTAAAGTTGTTATAACTTGACACAATTAGAGCTTTCTTCATCCCTGACATGTGATAAAATTAAGCCATTAAAATATGAGTAATTATAAGGTAATACTGGCTTTTAAAAACCAGTTGACTTGTCTTACTTTAATATGTTTGGAACTTTAAACTAGCTTTTGCTTTATGTATTGTTATCATCTTGCAAACTGATTATTTTCTTCTTTCTTTGGTAAGGTCAATACTTGGGAAATTGAAAAACTAGAGATGGAAGATGCAGTCACATTTTTGAAGACTAAAATCTATTCAACCGAAGCCCTTCATACTGCGGATGTAGATTTGCAAAGCACATATTAAAGTAATTGTTTTATATTAAGAGAGATAATTTATAAAAATATCTTTAATAGTTTTCTATGGGATTCACCTGACTTCTCATCATAATAAAGTGTCACTTCAGTTCACTGTTAAAGAATGAAGAAATGTTGTTGCTGGTATTTTAAAACATGCAGGAAAAAAATTCCAGAGCCACACCCATTCCCTCTAGTGTTGGGTATTTGACGAATCCATTAGCTGTTGGTTTCTCTTTTTCTCATTAGCTTTGATATACTGAAAACTGGCTTTTCAGTTGCCATGGGTCACCAGAGATGACCTTGTGTTTGGCATCTGCATTTTTATACTTCTGTTATATAAGCTATTTTAAGATAACTTAAGGGCTATCCCTTCAAATTATTTTGAAATACTAGCCAGCTAGCAGTTGTTCGAGGCTCTCAATTGGTAGTGTGCATAAGAATTAGTTGAATAACAGTTTAAATTACAGAATCCTGAGTTTAGGGTGAGGATCTGGCATCTGCATTGGTACCAAGGGCTCTAAGTGATACTGTTGAAGATTGTTCATGGCCCATCCTTTCAGAAACAGATGAGACAATATATAGATGGCAAGGAGTCGGCATTTACTGAAATTAATAGGCTGTTGGTTACTAGTATCATGACTCTTGTCAGTTTTTTTTTTTTTTTAATATGATTTGGGTGAAAATTTACAGAGCAAATTCACTTTCCATACAGCAGTTCA